CCTCTTTGGGCCATCGATTGTTTAAATTGCTCAGGCTTAAAGATTTGATAACGTGTTATGATTGAAAGCGATATTTATACAAAAACTGTCTGCTTTTATATTAATTAGTTTTGTTATTAACGAAGAAGTGGTGTAATAATTACTGTGGTCTGTATTTATCCAGGTTCTAACTATGAACTTCCACTTGTCTCTCTGTATTTATCCAGGTTCTAACTATGAACTTCTACTTGTCTCTCTGTATTTATCCAGGTTCTAACTATGAACTTCCACTTGTCTCTCTGTATTCATCCAGGTTCTAACTATGAACTTCCCATCCAGGTTCTAACTATGAACTTCCACTTGTCTCTCTGTATTTATCCAGGTTCTAACTATGAGCTTCCACTTGTCTCTCTGTATTTATCCAGGTTCTAACTATGAACTTCTACTTGTCTCTCTGTATTTATTCAGGTTCTAACTATGAGTTTCCACTTGTCTCTCTGTATTTATCCAGGTTCTAACTATGAACTTCCACTTGTCTCTCTGTATTCATTCAGGTTCTAACTATGAACTTCCACGTGGCTCTCTGTATTTATCCAGGTTCTAACTATGAACTTCCATTGTCTCTCTATCTTCATCCGGGTTCTAACTCTGCCTGTTGTTTCGTTTAAAAGAAACAAACGCTCACCATCAGCAGGTAATAAAGTCGTACACCTCTCTTCAAACGGTATCAAAAGTGAAACCTTTACAAAAACAGTAAATCTGCTATTGACTAAACCTGTAGAATAATTGTTGCTCTGTCTTTTCCAGGCTCTTTACACGTTCAAAATGCTTCGAAACTGACGTATATTGTCACATCAGAGCTCATGAAAAACGCATATCAGTTTTGGAATGACATTCACATATACTTTTACCAGCTTGTTGTACTGTATAGTTAACTTTCAAGACAATAATGTAAAAACTGAACAGTCAGTATGTAAGCTAAACATATAAGTGGAGTGATATTTTGCTGCTTTCATTTTAAACCAAAGATTTACTAACAATAATACGAGTTACCCGTATGATCAAGTTATAAGATGTTTGGAAAGTACACAATTTTAATTAAAACAAATTAAACAAACTGAAGCTTTATATTATTTTTACTCAACATTGTTCTTTTTTTTTATATAAACTGTGAGTTATACTTTTTCGTGAAATTAAAGATATTTTCTAGATTTTCAAATAGTACAAAACACTGGAAATCATATGATCACCCCCATAAAGTATTAAGCTTGGCGTTTCAAGGTAGTGACTCATTTAACCGCACACAACACCCCAGGACTCTGAAGATTCAAATGAACAGACATATTTGGTATAAATAGTTAAATAGCTAAGTATTTTGTTTTGCTTTATCGTGTACTCACTATTTTTAAACCATCAGGATGTCTCAGTTCTGTGACTGTATGAAAAAAGTCATTCTGGTAGCAGAGGGCGTTGTTTAAAACTGCAAAATGGTTTGTTTGTTTGTTTTTGAATTTCGCGCAAAGTTACACGAAGGCTATTTGCGCTAGCCGCCCCTAATTTAGCAGTGAAAGAGTAGAGAGAAGGCAGCTAGTCATCACCCACCGCCAACTCTTGGGCTACTATTTTACCAACGAATTGTGGGATTGACTCTCACATTATAATGTCCTCACGGCTGGAAGAACAAGCTAGTTTGGTGGGACGGGGATTCGAACCCGTAACCCTCAGATTGCGAGTCGAGCGCCCTGACCACCTGGCCATGCCGGGCCAACATGCAAGTAACTTTAACAGAAAATACTTCTAATGTATTTTCTAAGTCTAAACTAGATCAATAACATATTTGATCAATAGAGAAAGCGCCCTAACCACTCGGCAATGCCGGGCCCTACAAAATGAATAATTGTTGCTAACAAACTTGATATGTTTTTAACTTGTGGAATAGCTATTTGTCTGTTGCGGTTTTTTTTTTTCTCTTCTTTTTTTTTTTGTATTACGCCTAAATATTTTATTCAAGTATTATTAAACGATGATTTTACAACGCAAACAAGTGATTTTTGGATGATTGATTTGAAAATTGTGTGCAGCACTGTCAAATAATTTATACGCAATTATATTATTGTCGACTGACTTCTGTTGTTTTGTGGGCGTCACATATGATGTTTGATATTATATGTTCGGGGCCTAGAGCGTCCTAGCAGTTAGCGTGCCAGACTGTGTATCCGTGGTTCTCGTCCCGTTACTACAAAAAGAAAAAAATCGCTTTACGTACTTTGGGCGATGGGTATAAGAGTGAAGATCGGAACCTACTATTCGATCAGAGAAGCCCACGAGTTACCTGTAGGTGGTGTAGACTAGATGGCTTCCTTTTTATCTAGCTCATCACTTCACAATTAGAGTCGGCCCATCATGGTGAAGAT